TTGATCAAATCCTTGCTCACGATATCACTTTACGTGAAGGTAAAGTTACTTCTGAAAACACAAAACTTTATTACACTCTATCCTTGCCTGAATAATAAATCAGTTGTCCATAGTTAGATAACAGGAGAGTATGTCGAATGAAAAAGTTTTGCTAGGTCTCCTGAATATTCACAAGGTTGGTGGATTTGTTTTAAAGATATGATGGATATTCTGTGCTTTACAAAGTTGTTGTCCATAACACCTTTATGATCGAACATAACAAATCCAATCAAACCAAAAGTCAGGAATGAAAGGATAAAAAGAAATGTTTGAGTAATGGTCAGTGTGTCGAGATATATGCAACCTAAACTGAATAGCTATTGTAAGAGATGCTCAGCACGATGTATCCAAACGTGATCTGGTGAAGATGCTTAACCGCTTAACAGCTAAGGTATATCCAGTAAAAAAAAGAAATTAGCGTTATTGTTAAAGACTTGAAAAAATATTTATTTTGAGGATTTATTTACTATTACAGTTTTGTCAGTAAAAGCTTCAGATTATTAGAAAAACATGACACAAACTAGCTTTAGCTAACAGTAGTATTGATATAGGGAGCTAGGCCAACATCTCCGCTAAAAACTAAGAACCATACCTCAAGTGCAAAATAATCAGTCAGTTTACACTAGCTCGTTATACAAGCTGATATTTCATTATTACAATATTTGAAACCAATACATCTTTGAGTTAGATTAGGTCAATCAATCCTCCAGTAGGCTCATGTATGTCCACAAATAGTATTTTACCAAACCAACTTTACAAGAAATTACAGTATGTTGCCTAGTCTGATTTATCTTTCCCTAAGCTAAGAGTAAAGCAACTAACTAATTTTATTTTTATTCCCTTTATGAATATGTATCCTTATAAAGTATTTGTATCAAGATTAAAATGGAAATGATTAGAAGAATAAATACAAAATCACATCATTTAGTGCAAAGTTTGCTCATTGTACATCACTTTTACATTAGCACATGATACAAGGCAGAATATGTAAAACAAAAACAAAAAAGAATGAACCAAAAAACACTAAAGAAATACATTGAAAATGTTATGTAACAGCCTGTTTTACATAAATATTTGATCATTTGTATTTAGCGACTGAAATATATGTATATTAGAATATGTCTTTAAAAAATATTGAAAATTGTTTGACTCAGATTGTGTACTTGAACGTTTGTATGTAAATGACAAGCTGATCATAAATAGGAAAATGTTAATAAGTGCAGTAATATGGTTTCTGAGAATTAATTTATTTGGAAGAGAAAATATAAAATGAACTCCCTTTTCTGACGGTCATCTTCAAAATGTTTAGTGGCTAAAAGGGCAAGAAAGTATTTGTGAGAAGTACATGGACTGAGCAGTATATTCATCTTGATGGTTTTACATTTACTCAATATAAGTTTTACAGGCTTGGAATTTTTCGAAAAAAAGGACAAAGTAGATGGACTGCTTGTTCTTGTCTATATGACCATTAATAAGTTCGCTAACTCTACGATTGTATTTACCACGTGACAGATTAGTTAAGTAAGTTCTTATGTTCTTAAGACTTCAATAAGAACACCATTTAGTCAAATGATCAATCACAAGTACTTCATTATTTAGAGTAATAACTCACGTGAATATGTTAACTAAGGTACGCCACGATTTATATACTTCAAGAAGTACACAAACATGAAATTTTTGATACAAGGCTGGGTAACAGACTTCTGGTTGATTAGTTTAAACTCATGAACAATTAATAATACAGCAATAGTTAGTAGGTTGAAAAACGTATAAAAGGGTATATATTGTTGTAGTGTAGTGAAGGAGAACACAAGTAGAGACAACTAAATCTATTTCAATACAAAATTACAGAACATCTTGGAAAAATGTGAGAACCATACAGTAAATAATTGATTTGCAAAATTTCAATCAATTGTTTCAGACTTCACTGTTTCTCTGTTTCCACATCAATGATTCTCTGTTCTCGTTCTCTTTTCTTCGATCTTATTAACCTTCTGCCACCAAACATTTCAATTTCGATTGATGATACATACTACTTATATCTGTCGACATTAGTAGCACACACCATAGTAGTAGTTCTGTGTTGTGTACTGAAATGAATTTTTAAGTGTTTTACACTAGTATTATTAGTATGCATCATAAACAATCGAGTAAATTTTGATTATTTCATTCAGTTGTTGGTTTGCTTACGTGATGTGTCAAAATTCATATTCAGTGTGTGAGAATTAAAATATAATTCCTGATCACATCACGTGTTAGCTTTTTATTTTTGTAAATCGATACTGTTGGTTTATCGCTATCTGTTTAATGATATACGAGTGGCTGAAGATTATTTTGTTACAGTCGAAGTTAGGAACGCACAAGACTGAAACCAAATTATATATATATATATATATATATATATATATATATATATATATATATATATATATATATTACAGATTCCACTTATGTCAAACGATATATTAATTTTTGTTAACTCATGGCTTGGTTGTTAAATTGGTCAGTTTTGATCACCACAAATAGTGTGTGAACACCACTGATTATTCTCGTGCATCTGGCTACTTTGATGGTTGTACTCAAAATTTAATATGAACAGCTAATGAGAAGGTTAATCGATGACAATCAGAAGAGATCTAAAGGACAAGTACATTTTATTGGCAAAGAAATGGATCAGTTTCCTAAGGATTGGAGTGGTATATCATATATGAATGTGCATTTGTGCATCCTATTCAGTAGCCCAATATACTCTCGCTCACTCCTGTGTTCTCGCTCAAGTAGTCAGTTGGGGAGTTAGCGCATAGCATGCTATGAATCAGTATCACATTTTCGACACCACCCGTCACAACAAAATTCTGCCGTAATTACATGTTTGAGCTCTCTATTTAACTTTGATTCTCTAGCTCAAATAGTTCAACACACATGTAGACATATAATTCTGATCAACTAATTTTATTTCTTTAATAAATGTACAGGAAACACATACTGAATAGATGTTCTCTTATAGTAAGAGAAAGGAATAGAAAAGAAGAATAAGATCATGTGGTATTGTAGTAATTTAGTTAACGTAAAAATCAGATTATTATTGAAATCTAGTTGTTCTTCTAAATCATATATAAAGTAGTTAACCACCTATTTCATATGCTATCATATTATCTATTACACATGGTATATATCACGCATCTTGATTAAATTATAATCAGTAAGTCAGTAGAACAACATCAGATACTGTTGATCATTAGTTTACTTCTTTATTAAATCTAAAAGTCTGATCGTATTAATACTGATGATGATTATTGCTAAAGAGATTCTAAATACTTTTTGTACTCGTAAATAACTTTCATTAATCAGTATAAATACAAATCATTATCTGACCTGAGACTGTAATTTTTAGTTTATAATACAACATAATACCAGATAGACGATCACTAGAGATCAAGAGGTACTGAGCGAGTCTTTCCCCCTTTAGATCACTGAGTTAATATCCTGTGGTAAACATTTCTAACTTTAAAAGACTCGCTACATTTCAAGACCATTCACTTTGGCAATAACTATTTCACCCCCGACACGGTTATTTATGCATGAGATGCTAATCTAACCAAGGTTATCATCTTAAAACATTCTTGGGATATTTAAAGGTAGTTGGATTGTTGCTTAGTACTTCTTGAAAAATTGTTAAATAAGGAGGCTAAGATTAATTGTATTTTACGTTTCAGTCAATTAACTTGAAACTGGAAATAAGCAGACAGACAATTAAGCACTAGTAATATGAAGAATCACATATTTCATAACTTCACTGACAAAAGCGATAAAAGTAGGTTCTATATATATCAAACAAACAGATCAGTAATAGATAAATAACCATATTCAGAAGAATTCACCACAAAAAAATGAATCATTTACTGGGTTTTCGCTCAGCGTATGCGGACTCTTACAAATCCAGTTTAACCTCTATAGAGCAGAATGTTTTATGGGAAAAAGGTATCACCAGCTATTCTACTCCAAATACTGGTTAGATATGATATATCCCAAAGTCATCTACATAAATAAATGAAAAGTTTTTTTAATGAGCATGAGGTGGTATATTAGCGGATACTGAACAGATCGCATGCTGTCGCAGGACCTCGCTTTAGATAAGATAGGATTATGGGCGGAGTATTGCTAATAATTAAAATATTCACTCAACTACAGACGACCATCCTTCATTAACTTCTTTTAATAAGTCTGGTAACTTACAAATACACGAGTTGTGTGAAATATTATCCTGTTTTTCTTCAAAATAAATCATGGACTTTTAGTCATCTTACTCTATATAGCTGGTGGGATAAGGGCTAAGAAGAGTTTATGCATATCTGAACCGGACAGTAGAATGATGACACCATGGATTACCATAATAACTTCTTGTATCTGTTAATAGTAACCGCAGCAGAACCGTTATAAAGTTAAAGGTTATTAGTAGATAGATATTTCTAATACTGATGTTATTCTCTACATCTGAAGATGTTAACAATGACCTTATTTGTAACAAAAAGTTTGAACAAATGCATTTTGAAGCTAGTTCTTATCATCGATTTATGTTAAACGCAAATTGTGAAGTTTGGTCTTCCAGGGAATAATTTGAAAAGTATGACATGTAGCATATAATTATTTAGAGCTCTAAATATTTCTTTTCAAATATATGGTTTCATTCTTATTATTAATCAATATATAAATGAGTGTATTTTCGACTAGGGTCGTCGTCGTATTTCGGGGCTAATAAACCTTCATTTGTACCAGTTTTGGGAATAGCGGTGGTTCGTTTTTACAAGTATAAGTAATAAGTGATTCCGACATAACAACCAGCGACGACTAGATATAACAATTAGTGACGCAGTCATAACATGCCCACCTTGAATTTCAGTCCTAGTTGGAGTAGTTAGGTTGAAAATGCTAGAGGTGACCAAACCAAGACACGGCGTTAGTCCATGAAGCTATCACTTGAGCGGTGCCGGCAGGAGCAGACAATTTTTTTGGGCTCCCTGGGATGATTGCGATCGATGGTTAAAGATAATAAATGGGATAGCTTAGGACTGACCGCAGGGGATCAGGCGGATTTACGCTTTATTCTGCTCTGGACCTTGAGTTTCAGTATTCTTTAAAACACCAGTCGTATATTAACTACATTTCCAACATTTTGTTTTTCTTTCTATTTTTTGTTCTAGAATTATTTAGACACGATAGCTACTCACCTTGGTAATTTGATCTCCGTATGCTGATGCGTTATGAAACCTTGAGCTAACGTTCATTTGTGTTAGGTTCTATGTCGATCATGAGTGAGAAAATCACATGTAAATAATGACACTAAACCTAGTCGCCTTCAGTACACTGTTGACGATTTATATTTCCATTTGTATTGAGGTATATCTTCAGCTTGCATGCTACGTTTAAATAGTATACAAGTTTTTATACTAGTTTTAAAATGACACAAAAGCAGTACTGATATCTAGTAATTAATATAAACATGCCCAATTCACACAGTTCTTTGCTCATTTTGGAATACAAGATTCCACCAACCAAGTAACTATCATAGATATTAATTCAATTCTATTGGTTAACTTCTAAACTGGGTGATTACTAAAACCTTGCCAGCATTTCTTTTAATTACACTTTTGTTTGCTTGTCTGTCTATCAACTTGTAATCTTATTTTATTATTCGTCTGACCTATCAACATTCCAGATACTCTGATTACCACATACGTTCAAGTAAACTGCACTTCAATGCAGGTTAGATCTGTCTAATGCAATTCTGGACTTATTTCATTACATCACCATTGCGTTATTACAATTCAAATAAAATCATTGGAAACTATCGTACCAGTGTTATTTCACTTCTGATAGTTGTTAGTGCAAATCCCAGTATTGTTTCAAGTCTACCACAATTACGGAAAAGTCTAATACTGTTGTTGATTCAATGCTATCACTACTTTAGCCAAACGTACAATCAATTCCATTCGGATTCCATTTATTAGTGTACACGTTAATAGGTTTAATTATTTAAATATACATTTAGTGGTGCTATTCAAATTATCATTCAATCTATATGTAATCGATTGCTGACCTTAAGCATATGAACACGACGTTGAACTGCCACACAAGGAACACTAGGCTGATCTTCCTGGTGCCATCACGGCACATATATACAAATTTTGTAAGTAGGAAAACTAAATTATTGGTAGAGAAGAGTATTCATCTAAAAATACTCTACTATAATTGTGGATGATTGTGTAATCCCCATAGAAACACAATTTACGTCTGACCATCAAAATTTCAATAAAGTGTTGCAGAATTAAAGAATGGATATTATGCTAGCACATAAGATCATAACTCCGCCTGTAGCTCTTCCAGAGTTACTGCCGGTCCCAAGCCCGGGTAAAGGAGGAGGGTTGGGCATGGGGTTAGCGTCCCCATCCCGTAGAAACCTAACTCGCTAAAAAAAACGCTAACCAGAAAAAATAACTCAAACCATTTAAACTCTGCCCTGGGAGTTAGAGGTAATATGACGCTTCATGGTGAAAGCCGAGTTCCTTCGGAAGCCACGAGGCCGATGCCCCTCCTAACAACCAGAGCAACAATTTTTATAGGTACATGGAACGTCCGGACAATGTGGGAGACCGGGAAGACCAGTCAAATAGCAACGGAAATGAGGAGATACAACTTGGCAGTACTGGGAATCAGTGAAACCCATTGGACCCAAGCTGGACAACAAAGGCTAAATACGGGAGAGATGCTGCTATACTCCGGTCACGAAGAGGAAAATGCTCCACACACTCAGGGAGTTGCTCTAATGCTATCCAGAGTAGCACGAAATGCACTTGTAGGATGGGAATCTCACGGATCCAGAATCATCAAAGCATCATTCAAAACAAAGAAGGAGGGGATCACAATGAACATTATCCAATGTTATGCACCCACCAATGATAGCAACGACGTCGTTAAGGATCAATTCTATGAGAGGCTGCAATCAATCATAGAGAAGTGCCCGAGAGAGGACCTCACCATTCTGATGGCAGATCTAAACGCCAAAGTCGGAATGGACAACACCGGATATGAAGACATCATGGGACTACATGGACTGGGAGAGAGAAACGAAAACGGGGAAAGATTTGCAAATCTGTGTGCATTCAATAAATTGGTCATAGGCGGTACAACATTTCCACACAAACGTATACACAAAGCTACATGGATCTCACCGGACCACACCACAGAGAACCAGATAGATCACATTTGCATCAATAAAAAGTTCCGAAGGACAATGGAAGATGTGAAAACCAGGAGAGGAGCGGACATAGCTTCAGATCATCACCTAGTTGTGGCCAAATTGAAACTGAAGCTAAAGAAGAACTGGACAACTGGACAAACAGCATCACAAAGGTTCAATACAGCCTTCCTTCGAGATACTGACAAACTCAATGAATTCAAGGTCGCGCTCAACAACAGGTTCCAAGCCTTACAGGATCTACTGAAGGGAGAAGAAACTACTATGGAGGATAGCTGGAAAGGTATCAAAGAAACATTAACTTCAACGTGTCAAGAGGTTCTGGGCCCCAAAAAGCATCATCACAAGGAATGGATCTCTACAGAAACACTGGACAGGATCAAAGAAAGAAAGAACAAGAAGACAGCAATTAACAACAGTCGAACAAGAGCAGAGAAAGTCCAAGCACAAATAGAGTACATAGAAGCAAACAAGAAAGTGAAGAAGAGCATTAGAGCTGATAAGCAAAAATACGTGGAAGAACTAGCAACGACGGCGGAAAAAGCTGCAAGAGAAGGAAATATGAGACAGCTTTACGATACGACGAAGAAGCTTGCAGGGAAATACAGTAAACCAGAGAGACCAGTCAAAGACAAAGAAGGAAGACCAATCACTGAGATTCAACAACAGCGCAACAGATGGGCAGAGTACTTCGAGGAACTCCTGAACAGGCCGGCTCCAATGAATCCACCGGACATAGAAGCAGCACACACAGATCTTCCTATAAATGTCAACCCACCAACGACAGAAGAAATCAGAATGGCCGTCAGACAAATCAAGAGCGGGAAAGCAGCAGGACCTGACAATATACTGGCTGAAGCGTTGAAGTCAGACATCGAAGTAACTACAAGCATGCTTCATCTTCTATTCAAGAAGATTTGGGAGGAGGAACAAGTGCCGATGGATTGGAAAGAAGGACACCTCATCAAGATTCCAAAGAAAGGAGATCTGAGCAAGTGTGAAAACTACAAAGTCATTACACTACTGTCAATACCGGGTAAAGTCTTCAACAGTGTGTTACTGAACAGGATGAAAGACGCAGTTGACGTTCAACTTCGAGATCAACAAGCTGGATTCCGTAAGGACCGGTCGTGCACAGACCAGATTGCGACACTACGGATCATCGTCGAACAATCAATTGAGTGGAACTCGTCACACTACATCAACTTCATTGATTATGAGAAGGCATTTGACAGTGTAGATAGGAGGACGTTATGGAAACTTCTTCGACACCACGGAGTCCCTGAGAAGATTGTCAACATTATCCGGAACTCATACGACGGACTACAGTGCAAAGTAGTGCATGGAGGACAGCTGACAGATGCATTCCAAGTAAGGACCGGAGTCAGACAAGGCTGTCTACTCTCTCCCTTCCTCTTTCTTCTAGTGGTCGACTGGATTATGAAGACCTCGACATCTGAGGCAAAACACGGCATACAATGGACAGCTCAGAACCAATTAGACAATTTGGACTTTACAGATGACCTAGCCCTCCTATCGCATACACACGAACAAATGCAGATAAAGACAGCCAGCATAGCAGCAGTCTCTGCATCAGTAGGCCTCAACATACACAAAGGGAAAACCAAGGTCCTCAAGCACAACACGGAGAACAGCAATCCAATCACTCTTGATGGCGAAACTCTGGAAGACGTGGAATCCTTCACATACCTGGGAAGCATCGTCGATAAACAAGGAGGTTCAGATGCAGACGTCAAGGCGAGGATTGGCAAAGCTAGAGCGGCATTCCTTCAACTGAAGAACATATGGAACTCAAAACAACTTTCAACCAATATCAAAGTCAGAATCTTCAATACGAACGTCAAGGCAGTTCTACTGTACGGAGCTGAAACTTGGAGAACTACAACAACCACCATCAAGAAGGTACAGGTATTTATTAATAGCTGTCTACGCATGATACTCAACATCCATTGGCCGGATACCATCAGCAACAGCCTTTTGTGGGAGAGAACCAACCAGCTTCCAGCTGAAGAGGAAATTAGGAAAAGACGATGGAAATGGATAGGACATACATTGAGGAAATCATCAAACTGCATTACGAGACAAGCGCTAACTTGGAATCCTGAAGGGAAGCGGAAAAGAGGAAGGCCAAAGAACACATTACGTCGGGAAATAGAAGCAGATATGAAAAAGATGAATAAGAACTGGAAAGAGCTTGAAAGGATTGCCCAGGACAGTGTTGGATGGAGAATGCTGGTGAGCGGCCTATGCTCCTTCACGAGGAGTAACAGGCGTAAGTAAGTAAGTAACATAAGATCATAACGCTGTTTGTTACAAAGATAGTCATTAATCCACTCTATCTAACTGTATAAAATGTATGTGAACGTCTGCAACCGTGAGCCCTGGTGACACGGATGATACACATTCACCCAGTATTTTCTGTGCAGTACATCCGGTCACATAGACTGTATTCATAATTAACCACGAATAGAGGGTATGACACCTTGTTGAATGGATTAAATCATCTGCAAATACTAGGTTTGAAAAAATAAAGAACATGGGATTAATCATACTGAAAATTTATTCCTATTATAACTAACCTTCTACAAATACTTACATTTTGAAACAGTTAGATCGGTCATATTTGTTATAGAAGTTTAATCTCATGATGCTGTGAATTTTGTTTAGGAATCAAGTTACCGATTAACGTAAAGCTCAACTAAGATTAATTTTCTCAAAACCTGACTATTAATCAGCATAAATAAAACATGTATTCAGACATAGGTTGTGGTCCATTTTCACTGCATTATAGATCCTCATCTTTGATTTTTGTATCCTTCATATCACTCGGTACAACTTATCCGTCACATAGACAAATGAAGGACAGCTTTTAATTCACTAAAAGCACTTAGTAGTAGACTATATTGAAATACCTCAGGTTTTAAAAGTGACGACAGTGAACTTCGAACAGCTGCTACAGTAATTACAACTAACCTCACCTAACTTGGCAGCTGTGGCGCGGGGAAGATGCTTGGCTGACAAACAAAAAACGCGTAGGTTGCTCAACAGTCAGTTTTGTTCAATTTTATGACAGTGAATCGTGGCCTTTGAGATTAGAGGATACTCGTAGGTTACTGGCATTTGTTCATAGGTGTCTTAGAAACATTGCTAGGGTGAGCGATGTTGTTAGATGCAGTGTACTAGTTAAAGATAGTGAATCGATTATCGAAGTGATTCTTCATTGACTGAGTTGGTTAAGATATATACTAGGTATACCGAACCACCATTTACCTCGACGGGAGATATTTCCTGGTGTGGAAGTAAATTGAAGGAGGGCCAAATCAAGAGGTGGCATCAGTACATGAAGTCGTTGATTTTCGAGCTGAGCTATGTACGTAAGTGTAGACCGTCTGATTGGGGTTCGCGCGATTATCGACGTGGTGATATAGTTTAGGATCGGTTGTAATGACACAGATACATTGGTCCTGTCTTCCCTTAGATCTTTAGTTTAAAAATTTCATGCTCTCAATTCCGCGAATTTGTTCATTTCGAATGGTAATATCTGCTCCTACCACGCTGGTATTTTATCGAAATCCTGAACCAATCTACATTAGACCACTATTGAATGCCAAGTTCGTTCCATTACCATTAATACCGTTACTATCTCTACTACTCTAGTATTTGTCTTTATAATTTCAATTCGCTGTGATGTGGTGTGGCAAATTGAGTTTATCCACATGTGTTCCAGGTTCTACTTTGCATATAACTGACTTACTGACAACAGGAAGCATAACGTAATTAGCATGTAATCGTACACTAAACATCATAAAGGAAAACGAATATAACCAGACAGTTTAGAGTATGTTATTTGTCACAGTAAGTTTCTCAAGTTTATATTCATAGATGAAGGCGCCTGATGATAAAAATTTAAAGCGAAAACTTAAAGTTTGGAGTGAGAACACTGACATTTCATATTATGGAAGCTCTTAATGCTATTGTCATAACTATGTCGATCGGTTAGGCAAATATATTACAACTCAATGGTTCTGAAACTGTTTTTTAAATTAAGGTGAAATTAAAATCTATTAAGAAAATAACTACAGCTGATAAAGCAAATAAGTGGGCTGTACAATCAAACGTTTCTACTTAAATGAGGTATGGATAATGAAAAATATATCGTGTAGGACACAAAATACATTTTACATATGGGTAATATTAAATGGGAGATAAATAAAATAAGATATTACAAGAATACTGACTGAGAATTTTAAATCTAGAAATAAAGGCACTTGCACAAAATATAAACAATCAACTTAACGCACATTAAAATATATAAAAGTTAACTCTTGGAAGTACAAAATAAATGCAACAGTGGGCATAACTGTGAAAAAGAGGAATTAGTGGATCTAATGAAGTGATATATGATACAACGATTTCCTTTGCATATTGCACTAACCAATATACAATTTCAAAAAATGCAATTATGGACTAACTTATCTTTTATCGCAAGAAAAATCTATTGTTTAGTCACTATCCCATGACCAGTTGGAGCTTTCAGGAAAGTTTCCGTAAATATATGAAAATTTGTTTAGTTCACGGTTTTCTTGTTTAGAATAATTACTTAAAAAAGTGATGGGATTTACAGATTGTACAATATGTGTCCAGTTAGCCAATACAACTGCTGTTGGGGAAAGGTACTGTCCCAGGGTTTGAGCGATTGCAGTTGGTAGAAAATAGTTTGGTTTTTGAGAATTGAATAATGCAATTGTTTCGTCCGAACTATTACAAGCCTGAGGATGATGAAACCATATCCCAGATGTCACATGTTTAGTTTGATCCGGTCTACCAGCTAAAACCAACAATGTTGCTAATCTATTTTTATTTGTAGAATTTAAGCTTGAATCATTTACAGATGAGGAAAGTGGATGATCGTTTAATTTAACACCATCAGGGTTCTGAATGTAAGCTTCTCGAGACAATGATAACTTGTTTTCATCCAATCTATTCAAAAGGTGTGTAGCACAAACAAGACCACGAAAACCAAGAATTTTAGGACATAGATTAAACGTTAGCTCAGTATCTTCACAAGAATATTGTCTAATGGAATTTAACTCATCGATATCTGACGTCTGAACCGGTTTCCATCGAAGCCATTGGCAGGAAAACGTATCAAAACAATAGTGTGTAGCTTCCAAATCACGAGAGCAAGTCCCCATAGGAAACAAATAAGTCTTATCTAAAACAGAAATGTTTTAATAAAACGTGACACTTTTAGGGCTACTTATAGCATATCATAGATGAAAAAATCGGAGGAAACCAGTGGGATTGGGTAGTCCTTCTAAACCTCAGTGTCTAGAATCATACAGAGAGATGATTACATGTCCCTGCTTCATCAGAGATCACTTTTTTTGGCTTTCAGAATGCTAACAAACCTCAATGATATGTTTCTTCAACAGACAATTTGAGTAAAGTGACTGACTGTAAAGTACGGACTATTGGCTTGAAACATGTGCGATAAAAGTCCAATATTTGGATGGTGAAAATGGGTACAACAAATTCCCAATCTGAGCAAAAATTAGTTTGCTCCATGAAAATCGATTTTTCTTCTACAATCTGTAACAGACATAACAAAATTTAATATCCGATATAAGACTGGTAGAAGTACAACTTGATATTTATCACATCCATAAAATAGTATTTTGAAGATCAGTACGTCATTCAAAGTAATCGAACATTCCATTTGGTAAACCTTTCCAAAAAGAACTGTCAGATCCCTGACCAATAATCTTCCCTCTGTCTTCGGTGAGGGGTTTAGGGATTCTGGACTCTAGAAGATGGAGTCGCATCTGAATATTCTCTTTTTTGAAGTAGATTGGTAGTAACTGGTCGAGGTGGAAGAAGTATGATCAAAATTGATAAGACGATTACTCGATGTCTAAAGTTGCCCTGCATATTGTTAAGCATAAAACCGTCTACCTCATATTTTTTTATCAAACACCAAGCCATTTGTAAACAGTGATTCAGATGGACTGTAACAAGTAGCAGAAGTTACCAAATCCAACCAATGAGTTCAACCTGGTAGGATTCTATGATAAGATTTTAAGGTTTTCAAGTAAGAACACATTCACTAACTTTTCCCTAAATAAACAATAAATGGTTTCAGTACTACGCGGTATATATCATCAGTTTACGATTTACCAGTAAAATAAGCAATTTATGTAATATGTGAGTATATGGAGATTATTATCTGATCTCATATGATCTATTCCGTAGAAGCTTTCAAAACTTGAAATGAACGTGCATGATCATGCAAGTATCACACAACAGCAAAACTCATGTTGAAGGTCGATAACAACATAACAGGAAGAAAGACAAACATCCTTCGGGTGTTTTTGAATGTATTTCTTAGTAGAGAGAAAATTTTTATATATCAGTATTTTTAAAACATACTGGTAATATGTGAGGGGAATCTAGATAAACTATCTCAAATAAACAGGAATAATACTTAATAATAAACAAAGAACTTACCACTAAAGTTACCTTGCAGAGAGCAACTGATAGCTAGCAAACGGTACATTCTGATGAGGAAAGGTGGATTAGGCAGATTCTCTACAAATAATGCATCTCCATCAGGTCGCGGACGAAATCGAAAGAACTGTGACCGAAGTGCTGATGTTTGATGAAGCCCGTGACGTGGGTGTCTGGAATTATTCGACGAAACTGTCTCAATATTAGCATATACCCAGTCGTCGGGTGGGATAGAATTCAACTGTTCGATTGGTGTAAATAAAATCATCCCATTCTGGTTCCTAGATAAACAATAAGGTTCCATCCCATACCAGTTCCAAGTGCTTAGATCAAATCGAAATGCACACAACCATGCGACCTCTTGTATAGAAGAAAGATAATACATGTAAAGACCACTGGACAACGTAGTTACACCTATTCGTCTAGATCGGAAGCAGAAGGAATTGATACTACCATTTCTGTTGTTCGTGGGAGAAAGAAGCAAACGAGGGATGAGTTTCGCACGACAAGAAGCTAAACACCAAGCAAAGCCATTTAATGTTGCATTGTTTGGATCAAAACACATAACAAACAAATTACTTTGATAAGAAGCGGATCCGTACGTTACTGGACAGAAATAAATGCGATGATCTATGTCGCCAACACCAGAGGAGTCCAGATCGAGTTCCCGTAGACAATTATCAGGTATTGGATAGTTATGATAAGCTCCATTGTGAAGGTTGAAAAGCCAAAATTCTAATGAGTTGCTAGAACGACTTGGAGCTAACCCAAGTAAACACAGAGATTCGGCTCTAGGCTTTAATAGCAAAAGCTGGAGTTGAGAAGCTAACGGAGACTTGCAGAAGATTCCCCCATTCGGAATACTTTTAAAAAATACCTCCATATCTTCACATGTCAGCTTCCCAAACCACTTCAACTCAGGATGTTGGTTGCGCCAATAATCTAATAACTTTTCTTGACCATCTAGCGAAAGAAGGCCAGGACGAACGCATTGCAAAAAGCATTGAACAGTGTTTTCTGTATAAAACTCAGTTGGTTTCAATATCTGTAACCAGCTAAGAACAATATTTAAAATTATATCTTCGTCTGGTATGCATATGACACTTTTCGACAAATAACTTATAGCCAAATTAATAAGATGCTGTAAGTTTGAATCTGAAAGACATGGTCTGAGGATAAAATGAGGGTATTTTATGGCGTATTCAGAAAAAAGTTTGCTAACACAACCATTTTCACAGTGGGACACTTTCGCAAACTCTTTTAATATTATTGAGAATATATCGCAGCTATGTGATTCATGAAGTTGAATGGATTTCGGTTGAAATAACTCGTTCATGATATGGGATATTCTCTGAATACAAGTTTGAATAAGTTTGGGCATTTGAAAGTAATCTGCTGCATCAGCCAAATCCAAAGCTTCTAAAATTTTCAGCGTTTCTGGACAAGAGTTATTTAATCCACTGCTATGGTTGTTTAAAGCATCATCCCGAATAGTTAATTCAGGTCGCAGAAACTGAACTACCATAGCTAGTTGGTGAGCAGTGAAATTAGGAAAACTGAACTGTCTGGTTTTGCTTTCAGTCATCCCGCTCTCAAAAGCAGCATAAAAATATAGACTAGATTTAGTTAATACATCACGAGGTACCTGAAATGAACAGAAAACTATTTATTGAACGACCAATATGATGGAACTGATCTAAAGAGTGCAACTGACCTAAAAGAATAGTCTATGTACAACATTTGACAACTCCTAGTTGAACCGGCACTAAACTTAATCTCAATCATCTAACCCCCAGAAATAACTACTAAACTGTGATTTAATGTTTACAGTTAGTAAATCAGGAATCCGTTCGGTGAAATCTAGCTACTCATCATTTTGCTTATAAGTAAAGCTATATGAGTAGACGTTTTCTACTTATGAGGACGTACACTGCTTTTCACAGATAAATACACCGTTTAAATTAAGTTATAGACAATTTTTAAAACACGTAATATTTTATGCAAAAATTTCACTCTAACAAAACTTTCTGACTCTGACATTAGAAACTTTTTGTAACACTTGGTAAACAGTCCAATAGCTACACAGATAATGTACTTATGCTTATTATCGCATGAATGCTGGTCGGCGTCCTATGCTCCATTGGGAGTAACAAGCGCAAGTAAGTACCGTGTTCCGGAGTAATGATTAGGTTATAGCTGGTTTTTCACAGACTGTATGAGTCATATCCAAGTGCAACTCAACTAGAGCTTAGAAATAAACACGCTACATTCTTACCCACAATCAATAAAATTAAAAACGACGTTGGTATGTTCAACGAAAGAACTCGATTTTATCCGAATGATAATTGGAAGATATTTATCATCAGCATGTTTGAGAAAAAAAGAAATTTGATAACCAGCAATAGACTAAACTACCTCTTAATCAGCCACCATCTGACTTCTTCCGCAAATCACTTAACTCTGTCTCATTCGGGTGATATTTGTAGTGTTTCGAACCCTTTAATCACGAATTTAACATTGTTATATAGACAGTCCAACTCATCTCAATGCCTGGAAGATTGTTGACTCATAATTAACTGTCTGATTTTTAATTAGAAACGACTTACAGGGTTTATTCAAACAGCCATATAATTGAGTGGGTACATTTACATCAATGGCCAGCTAACATACATCGACGGGAAAGTGAAATCTCCTTTAATATTACCGAGGGAAGAAGCACCACCTGAAACTAACATCAGTAACCAGGTGCCTCTAGTGGACACTGAAGATCTGAATAAGACCGTCACTGTTCCAAATAGTCCCGGTGTACTGAAGGATGAAAAATGGACTACAGTACGGAATAAACGAAGTGAAAAGAAAAAGGCTGTGGGAAATGCGCAGGTAGTTAGCAAGTCATTGGTGAACTCCCATTGTGAGTCACAAAACGTACTACCGAAATCTGATAGAAAGAGGGAAAACCACCCAGGTGTGACTGAAAAAAAGAATCTGATATCATCGAATATTATTGTTAGCAAATTACTGGAGTCAAACGACCCTGACCCCAAAATTAGACATGCGCATGATTTAGAGAAGTTGGGAGATTATATTCGTAGTATCTTACCGGATAACTCTAAAGGAGTCCAGGTCAAAAAGCTGGTAAGAATAGGCAAGAGGACCGAAAACAATGCTGAACCTCGTCCATGTAGACTCCTTAAGGTAATCCTAGGATCAGAGACGCAACGGGACCTCCTGTTAAGTAATGCTCGTTGTCACGACAATTCTGATATCCGAGTTAGACCTGATATGTCTCTCGAAGACAGAATAAAAAGAAAGAAAGCACTAGCTGAACTAGAAATCCGCCAACAAAATGGTGAGAAAAATCTCCGGTTAGTGGGTTTTCGGATAGTCAAGTCTTGGAAGCGAATGCTACCAAGGCCTGTATGGATAGGCCGTTCTACCTAGGAGTCTTATATGCCAATGCTCGTAGTCTAAGAAATAAGTTCTATGAGCTAGGAGCATTAGTGGACAGATTAAGGCCACTCATCGTAGCAGTGACAGAAACTTGGTTAGTCCATAACTTCGACATTACTCCAGAACTATCGGGATACCATTACCTAAGGAGTGATAGACATAGTTGTAGAAAAGGAGGTGGTGTCCTGTTATATATATCCAATAGTATAAATATACGCTCCTTTGTTAGCGAATCCCATGACAGCGGTACTTGTGAAGTTATTAGCTGTAAATTGGATATCGGATGTAGTACGTTTATGCTCGGTGTCATCTATCGCAGCCCAATCTGTTTAGCCGATGACTTTATTCTAGAGCACATTCATCTTTGGAGTACCAATACCAGGTGCTTGATAATAGGAGACTTTAATGCACCTAACATTAGTTGGGCTGAAATGACCACAGAAGGATCTATAAACTCCTTTGAAAATAGGTTCCTGATAACAATAATGGAGCATGCATTAGTGCAGCATGTATCCAAACCTACACGTTTTGGTGCTAACCAAGGTTCTCCTCTGTTGGACTTGGTAATCACTCATGATACTGAAGATATTGTCGACCTAAATGTTCTCCCACCGTTAGCGAACAGTGATCACGCTGTTTTGTCCTTCTCGTTTAGAACTAGGGACATGTTATACGATCAGGTCACACCCCGCCCAAATATATGGAAAGCTAACATATCAGCCATTCAGGAATGCGCTGCTAAGACAGATTGGTTTGTAGATACTAGCTTATCAGTTGAAGAAGCATGGTCTGTATTCAAAGGTAAGTTTAGTTTAGTTACGTCCTCGTTCATACCATACCTGATACCGCGAAGACCGAATAATAGTCCACCATGGATAACCAAACCAGTTAAGAAACTTCTTAGAAGAAGGAAGAAGCACTGGAATATGTTCATCTCTACGGGCTTAGAACAATACCGATCCAGTTATTGTAAGACTAGGAATGCCTGTAAAGCTTTAATAAGTAAGACTAGACGATCATACGAAAAGCAATTGGTTAGGGATTCTAAATATAGTTCGAAACGGTTATTCTCGTATATAAAAAGACGAACTCAGAGAAGTGATGGAATTCCATCACTTTTGATACAAGAAAATCCGTTAATCTTGGCAGAGAATGATACAGAAAAAGCTGAAGCTTTATCGAAATATTTCAGTAAAGTGTTTTCTATCACTAATGAGGAACGACCAACGATTCATTATGACCGTAACGGCTCGCTGATGGATCCTGTGGTCATTGAGAAAGGTACTGTTTTAAGGCTACTTCAGCATATCAAACCTGATAAGTCTAGTGGTCCTGATAATATTCATCCTAGGATTATGAAAGCCATATCAGACGTAATTGCTGAACCATTGGCGATACTGTTTGACATGTCTCTGAAGCAGTCCAAACTGCCCAGAGACTGGAAAGACGCTATAATAAGTCCGGTGTACAAGGCTGGGAGTAGGGACTTAGTTAGTAACTATAGACCCGTTAGCTTAACGAGTGCAGTTGTAAAACTGATGGAAAAAATCATTCGGATATCTGTTATAAACTATGTTGAAAGGCATAATCTTTTCTCCAGAGAACAACATGGTTTTCGGAGAGGCCTATCGTGCTTGACAAATCTTCTCATCGCAAGAGAAGATTGGGCTGCTGCAAAAGATCAGAGTATTCCTGTAGATGTGATCTTCATAGACCTTAGTAAGGCTTTCGATAAGGTCTCTCACTCTGGTCTTAGACTAAAACTGGAACTCTTCGGAATCCATTATACAGTCGTAGATTGGATAAGTAACTTTCTCCATGACAGGAGACAAAGGGTAAGGGTAAATGGGACTCTTTCCTCGTGGGTGCCTGTGAAAAGTGGAGTTCCCCAAGGTACCATCCTCGGTCCTCTTCTCTTTTTACTTTATGTAAATGAATTACCAACTGTAGCAAAATCATCCATTCTACTATTCGCTGATGACATAAAAATTTGGAGACCCATACACAGTATGTCAGATAGAATAGTATTACAGAATGATCTTAGCTCATTGGTGGCATGGTTAGATAGGTGGTCACTTGAAGTTAATCCAAATAAGAGCGTGGTGATGCAATTAAATGACAATGATGAATCGTATCACTATAAAATACGTGGATTCGTACTACCCAAAGTAAGAAACTACAAAGATTTGGGAGTCATATTAAGTAGTGATCTCAAAACCACTAGTCACTGTAAGGCTGCTGCTGCAAAAGGCTATAGAATATTATGGTCTATTCGTAGGTCTTTTCAGTATTTAGATGACGAAATGTTTAGACTACTATACCCGATTTATGTGAGACCACATTTAGAATATGGAATTCAAGCAGCAAGTCCTTGTTTCAAGTACGAAGCAGATATGCTAGAGCGAGTCCAACGACGAGGTACTAAGATGGTACAAGGTCTATCTGGACTATCTTATGAAGACAGATTGAGACACCTCAACCTATTTCCTTTATCTTACCGTCGAATTCGGGGTGATCTAATATTGGCTTATCGTATACTGAACGATGACCTTGGTATTAACATGTCTTATCTTTTACTTCCGTCTAGGACTGATCGTTTGAGAGGACACTCAAAAAAAATTCAAAAACCGAGATCAAATCGTTTACGTCTGGAGTTTCGTTTCTCTCATCGAGTAGTGAATTATTGGAATTCTCTACCGGAACACGTAATATCAGCACCTTCTGTTGATATATTCAAGACGAGATTGGACCTCCACAGTATTACAAACTGCAAGGATTAATACAGGTCGATAGACCTCCTATCCTTATTACTGAAGACTGAAGACTGAAGACTGACATTGAACGCTTACTTAAAAGTGGGTTTAACTATAATCAGTTGAAGTATTAACTGATTAGTCTTTGAAATTGGCAAAAGATCTTTCGGGGCATTTTATGACAGCACAAAAAAGCTAGGCGAAAGTCAAGGATTAACAAGAAGGAAACAGATGGGATATAGAATGATTTTGTTAATAGATCCAAGACGATATCAACGTCATAATAAATAAATTTTTAGCCGTAAAACACTAACAGAAACTATCATTGACTATTTCATAATGATGGTGATTCTGGCTTAGATAAATCTTAATTGTAAGCCTACATGTATGCAAACTAAAATATTTATATCTAAATACTACGGGGTTACTGAAATTTATTCGTGAAAACTGGGAAGATAGACAACTTACTAGAAAACTTTGATTTTCCGCTATTAAGGTTATCATGCCACTTGCCATTTTTAACTCAATATCAATTTATGTTGATATGACACAATTATAAGTATGATATGCAACGCGAACAGATGACTATAATCGCCTTGAGTAAATCTTACAATGTGATTTGAGTATCTGGGAACTTGTTTGAAGCCTGAAAGTATGTTGGGAAATTGTATAGAGTAGCGTAATCTGGTCAAGTAAAAAGTACCCGTGAACGGACGATTCAGTAGGTACACATTATGTACGTGTTTATTAGTCAGAGTAATCAAAAAAATCACCAGTACCGCGAAGGTGAGATTAAAAGGATTTGACAAACGAAACTACAGGTTAGTAGAGTAGGCTTTTTGACATGCTACACAAACAACTTGTGAATGAAATTACGCAAATGTTAAACAGTGCGCGCTTATTCATACACTGTAACCTCTATCTTTAGTTTGTCTAAGAGCATAAAAGAACGACTTTAAGTAGTTTTGAAAAAATCTTTAAGGAATAAAAAGACCTTTGCCTGATTTTCTAATGCGAATTCAATTATGTGTGTTTTTGACCATCATATTCAAAATTTTCAGACGTGTATTGACGACATAAGGCCCATGGTCTGTTTCAGTCATTTTCTAGCTTCAGAGGGTGTCTCATCTTTTGTTGGATGAGTCAGTCATACTTTCTGGCACTACGTATTCGAGAGAGAGGTTCCAAGAATTGATGACGAGGTGTGAAAACTGGTTTGCTAAAGTACTTTGTTCGTTCACGGCTTTTCTACGCGCCTGTTATGCCCTCTGATATTTTGTGACCTAGTAGAAATAAACGAGAGAATATATCGCATGCAAAACCAGTTATTCGTATCCCGCGAATCAGAATCAGATCACTTATTAATCTGCGGTAGAACAGAGTTGAGGGGTCTGGCTTCCCAAGTCGCTCTTTGTATAGTAAACTCCAGGGTGCTAGAATTGAGTGATTATCTGCGCTCTGCAATTTTTCTAGGATATCCGATTCTTCTTTTGATTAGGAGCTTGAAGACTGGGTCTCATAAAGGTCGCTTGTACTGCAGAGAATTCATTAGTATTCAACTTGGTAAATGCCCATTGTAAAAACCTTAGGGTTCTGAACACCTTATCTGCGATCGCACGAAATGAGCCATGGTCTGAAGATTTTGACCCACTGCTAGCCCGAGATCACTGTGAGGCTGAACAACAGGCACAAACAAGGTCAAACAATAGTTATTCATGTTCTAAGCAAAAGTAGGCTACCGTCTATAGGCCTGTAAGGTCCTTTCTAAATGTTTTGAGTATGAAAACCCCTCCGCGTACACACTGTTGTGATTTCTTCTTCTTGGTTCACCCAGATATACATCTTGTTGATCTTTTGATTCTATTTAAGTTGATGCTTTCTATATTTTTCCCCACTTTCTTTTCTTATGCCTTCATTAAATTCCTATGTGTTCCCCCAACTATATTTATGTTATTTTAGTTTATATTTAGTCATGGCAGCTGACACATTGTTTCACTTTTCCTTTGATCACACTGCTAGAGTTTGCCGGAATCGTACACTTTTGCCTGTGAATTGAAGCACTGCTTCAGATCTATAAACGCTTAGTGTTGTAACAATTTGTACGTAATCTATCAAGGAAGGTTATAGTGACATTTTTGTGTCGACAGGAATATTTGTTTATTTCACTCAGTAGTTCTCTTATATCATATGTTGGTTTATCTACTTAATGTAACTCATATTTTACTACCAATTGAAAATTCATTGCTTAAATAACCGGGAGGTAATATTTGTTAAACTAATAATGTACATTTTAGTTTATAATGAAATTTAGAACCGTCATTTACTCGGTTACCACGTTTCGGTTTCAACTGGGTTATAACACGCATCTAAACTGACCTAGACAGTTGCTACTCATTCCTAACTTATTTAGTTTGGGAGCTACACAAGCTACTCAAAGAAAAAAATTGCGGAACAATACGATCATCAAAAATGCTAATCAACCAAATCAAACAGTCAAGCCCCCACTAGCCTTGGTGGAACTAGAGAACTTCGTACACCAAACCATAAAACTTCAGGCCACAATAACTTAGCTGCAGAAATGATCAAGCTCGTTGAAATAAAGCTAAGTACAATGATAGTACAACTAATGAACAACGTATAGGAAAACCCTAAATCAATTCGACTAAATGGATAGATGTAGACCTCCTCAAAATATGCAGAAACAAAGTGTTACGCAATTATCCCAACAGCTATCGAAGCATATTCTCACTTGATGCGACAAGAAAGACACTTACTGGAGTGATCTGTGAATGTCTGAAACAATCAATCAGGAAAACCTTCTGTGGCGTTTGCCTCCAATGTCGACAGCTGTAAGTAGTATGTATCGTCAGTCGAAAGTGAAACTTCAAGCAACAGAAGGTTAGATCGATCGCAGAAAAGAGGACGGGGACAGGGAATGATTAACGTGGAAACGAAAAAATAATCAAGTCTGAGACAAATTACTGAAATTCCGAAATTAATTATTTACTGTATCCTTCTCAAATTTTACTAATATGCTCTGTAATTTTGTGTTTAAATACATTTGATTTCCTCACTTGTGTTCTCGTTCACTGCATTTGATGCGATAGGAAAGACATTTTTTGGAATGATCTGTGGATGTCTGAGCCGATCAATCAAGGAAATCTTCAACCAACCCAAACTCAATTTTGAAAAATCTGTTTACTATACATGAGATCACGATGGTAAGGCACATAACATAATGTGCCCTGGACATCAATCAACTACCTTCATTGACCTTACTAAAGCTTTTGGCAATTTACAAAAATTTGATTCTAGACACACTTCAAACTTCAACTAAATCACTGTTAAATTGCCGAATCAGCCCAAGGGTCATCAAGAAGATACAAGTCTACACTGTACCATCCACAGAATAAAACAAGGAAACAGATAAGGCGCACCACGCGTTTAAAAAACTCTCAGTTCCACAATAGACCAAATAACTACTTGCCTTAAACTAATTAATAACAAAAATACAATCTGGACTTTGCTGCACGCGGTGCAGGTTGATGACATATTTTCCACTACAACAATATCTGGTTAAACCACAAAAACACTCACTTCTCTCCAAAACAACCTAACTAGGCTTGGAATGCAAATTTGCCATGACAAAATCAAATTCATGCTAGTCGATAAACGGAGTGGTGACTTCGAAATAACAGAAGTCAATTACAAACCATAAGAAGTAATAACGCTCGACTACCTTGGATCAATCATGGAACTCCTGACGATGCGATCAAACCAGATACTGGTGAAACGAAAACAGCAATAATTAAAGTCAAACCGATATTACGCTCGGCAAACATAAGCCTATGAGCAAAAATTAGGTTGATGGGTTATTCGATAATCCCCATCTTAGCCTATGGTCATGAGCTTATAGCCCAAAGAAAAAAGGACTGGACTAGATCCGGAGCAGTCATATATACTGCTTGAAGAATAATACTGGGTACATATAACAAAACACAATTTACAAATAACCTACCTCATAAAGGCATAACACCCTTTAACCTTGCACTGACGATACTGAAAAAAAGCTAAACCTCTGGAATACAGCTCATGGTAGACCAAATAACCTAATGGGGGTCTTCATACAGCCATATAGATAGCAACAGCTACGGCAAAAAACCATCTCACAAAAAAAGATAGCTGTGACAGATGACACAAGTTATGGATCAACTTTACGACTGACTTCATCAGGAAGTGGGAATCAAGTCGTGGTCGTAAAACAGACAAGTGTGACGTAACACACAAATACAGCAAAAGCAACCATCAGTGGCTAATTGCCACAATCAAGGAAATGAATACTTATTACAGAAACGGTCGCTGTCTACGGCAAGCGGACCTGATACCCCAGGAGAAATTCAGATGAACTTTAGAAGACTGATAGAAGATCTTCGAAACTCCAGGATGACTCAAAAAGCACACCAACTCTTGATATGCTCAGTGAATCCAAGTAACGGCAAACACAGCTGCAAAACCAAGAGATACGAATTCGAGATATATTAACACCCAGAGGAACTGAAAACACGACAGCAAATACATACGGAAACCTGAAGAAATGCCAATACCCTGGATGCCACCAAAAACTGACAACCAGTGAGTGAATAATCAATCACTATTACGTCATACACAAATGGTTATCCATCAAAGAACAAGAAGTAATACCAAGAGCACCACAATTTACAAGAACCGCGAGAGTAATTATTGCGTCCCTGCAGTTGTTTCATGTTTCTATGTACTCCGTTCCCTACTAGCCTACTGGCTTCATCATCTACGTATTGCTGAAAGAGTCCCACACACCAGACTTGTATTAGCAACGTGAGTGAAGATAAAGCTTAAGACGGATGACGAGTTTCGTGGGTCATATCTGATGAAATCTTTTATTTGCTGGAATAAAGCTACAGCGATCGCGATTACTAACAACTCGTTATCAGGCGACGTTTCTAATGACGCTTCTTCTAAGTCTCCACAGTTTACATAGGGCGCTTTTGAACACGTTTGATCAGGATTTATTTAGAAGGACGTCATCAACCACACGTTTTGAACTGTGATACACAACCACCAGTTCAATGTCTGACTCCTTCCATTTCATCCAAAAACGCAACAATTCACATGTTTTGAAACGTGCACAGCTATCGCGGGAGTTGCTGCGGTTAAGGCGGTTTCCATGTATGTGATAACCCCACCACCTCTACGAATTAATTCATCAGACGTACAAAGAAGGAAACAGAGCGATTACATTTCACTATCATGCAATTCCGAAGCTGTGTTCATCAAGTTTTCGAGCCCCGCAATTACACCTGGTAGGCTGCCAGAATTTTTTCAACATACGTATAATTCTGCAAAACTTTCCTATACTGTATAGAGTGGTTTGGGGATCTTTCCACCCTGAACCTTTACAATTAGCGAACTCCCAAGTATGATATTTTTCCCTTTTTGACAGTGCTCATCTATTCCTGTTTCGATGGATCGTCTGTTAATACGATCAGTAAAGCTTGATTAAGCATGGACATATATTATAGATCTAGCTATCTGGAGTGAATCTCACTACATTAAGTTTCTTTTCTCAATGGAAGAAAACTTTGTTTGAGAGAACCTGAAAACTATTTTCTCCCGTAAATGTCAATGTGAGTGGCTAAAGACCGTTCTTCTTGTAGAAAGGTGTGGTCTTCATTACCATTCATCCAAGAAAAGAAAGACAAATCAGTTAGTAACCATAGAAGCGATAGTAAGATTTTTTCCATGTAATTGTGTACGTGTAAGAGAAACCATGAATACGTCAAGAATATAAGGTGCTTAACAACTTTGTCCTTCTAAACCTCCTCTTTTACAATGATTCCAAAACTAAGTAAGCCTGAAGTAGGTTAGTAGGGAAACTTC